CCAGTGAGAGTCTCTGTGTGTGTGTGTGTGTGTGTGTGTGTGTGGGACACCGTAGCCCAGTCAGAGACAGTGTGTGGGACTGTACCCCAGTGAGAGTCAGTGTGTGTGTGGGACCCTGTACCCCAGTGAGAGTCAGTGTGTGTGTGGGACTGTACCCCAGTGAGAGTCAGTGTGTGGTGGGACCCCGTACCCCAGTGAGAGGGTGATATGTCCTTGTTTGTGATATACATAAATGATCTGGAGGAAGGTATAGATGGTCTGATTAGCAAGTTTGCAGACGACACTAAGATTGGTGGAGTAACAGATAGTGAAGGGGACTGTCGGAGAATGCAGCAGAATATAGATAGATTGGAGAGTTGGGCGGAGAAATGGCAGATGGAGTTCAATCCAGGCAAATGTGAGGTGATGCATTTTGGAAGATCCAATTCAAGAGCGAACTATATGGTAAATGGAAAAGCCCTGGGGAAAATTGATGCACAGAGAAATCTGGGTGTACAGGTCCATTGTACCCTGAAGGTGGCAACGCAGGTCAATAGAGTGGTCAAGAAGGCATACGGCATGCTTTCATTCATTGGACGGGGTATTGAGTACAAGAGTTGGCAGGTCATGTTACAGTTGTATAGGACTTTGGTTCGACCACATTTGGAATACTGTGTACCGTTCTGGTCACCACATTACCAAAAGGATGTGGATACTTTGGAGAGGGTGCAGAGGAAGTTCACCAGGATGTTGCCTGGTATGGAGGACGCTAGCTATGAAGAGAGGTTGAGTAGATTAGGATTATTTACATTAGAAAGATGGAGATTGATGGGGGACCTGATGGAGGTCTACAAAATCATGAGAGGTATAGACAGGGTGGATAGCAAGAAGCTTTTTCCCCAGAGTGGGGAACTCAATTACTAGGGGTCACGATTTCAAGGTGAGAGCGGAAAAGTTTAAGGGAGATATGCGTGGAAAGTTCTTTACGGAGAGGGTGGTGGGTGCCTGGAACGTGTTGCCAGCGGAGGTGGTAGAGGCGGGCACGATAGCGTCATTTAAGATGTATCTAGACAGAATGGGCAGGGAGCAGAGGGATACAGATCCTTGGAAAATAGGTGAGAGGTTTAGATAGAGGATCTGGATCGGCGCAGGCTTGGAGGGCCGAAGGGCCTGTTCCTGTGCTGTAATTTTCTTTGTTCTTTGTTCTTTGAGAGGCAGTGTGTGTGTGGGACCCCGTACTCCAATGAGAGTCAGTATGTGTGTGGGACTGTACCCCAGTGAGAGTCAGTGTGTGTGTGGGACTGTACCCCAGTGAGAGTCAGTCTGTACATAGGACACTGTACCCCAGCGAGAGTCAGTGTGTGTGTGTGGGACCCTGTACCCCAGCGAGAGTCAGTGTGTGTGTGGGACCCTGTACCCCAGCGAGAGTCAGTGTGTGTGTGGGACCCTGTACCCCAGTGAGAGTCAGTGTGTGTGTGGGACCCTGTACCCCAGTGAGAGTTTAGGTGTTTGGGACCCTTCAGAACCTGTAAGAGGGGTGGATACTGAGCTTCTGTTTGTACAGTGAGGTCTAAATGGGTCACTTGTGATTGATGACAACCTGAAAAGGTGTGTGGTGTAAACTGTAATTGCATAGCACTTGAGTTGTCTGATGTTTAAGAGCGTGTATGATGTGTTCGTTTATTCTTGGGTAGGATGACAAAAAATGTTTCATCTGTGATTCTCGTAAACCATATGATCCACTGCGAAATCCCAACAGCCACAGAGTGGAAAATGTGATTACAACCTTCGCACAGTATCGTAAGAAGGCCTGGTGGCAATCAGAAAACGGTGAGTCTGTGAAATATAGGAAGAAAGTGATAGTGGGGGTAGAATCTGATGTAAGAACTTGTCTTGCCTCCCTCTGACTCAGGCAGGGAACTGACACTTGATTCACTTCAAAGTAGTCTTGGCTCTGAATCGAAAGATTTTGGGTTTGGGTTCAACTCATTAACGGTCAGGGAATACAAGTGCCAGAATGTGTGACCCAAGTATCGCTGATGAAAGTCACATTTTGTTGAAGCTTTTCATCTTGCCCTCTTCAGACAATTCACAAGTTTACTTATTCCAGGGGAAAACCCACATTTATATTGCATGAAGGAGAATGTTGATTGGTTGGAAATTAGACTTTGATTGGTAGAGGCATTGCTACAAAGATTGCACCCAATTTTGCTAATTGATAGTTAACTGCCAGATTTATTTAAATTTTAAATCAGGCAAGTTGACTCTGTTCAGGGCACCGCCTGAAAGATGAACCAGAGAATGCCTGTTACCTATTCTGTTGAATTGAAACAGGTGCAGCATGTATACATATTCTTTCTGTCAGCAAAGGACAGAGCCCTGAGTATTTGTGCCCATAGCTTTGCAAGTATCTCACAGTGTGAGCCTGAAGCTGTCAGTGTAATTCTTCACACACTCTGAATTATCCAGCAAATACTGCCAAACTGAAGAAAAAGCTTTTTCTGAAGAAGGCTCCAGACCCGAAACGTCAGCTTTCCTGCTCCTCTGATGCTGCTTGGCCTGTGGTGTTCATCCAGCTCTACATCTTGTTATCTCAGATTCTCCAGCATCAGCAGTTCCAACTATCTCTGATCACATTTAAATGCCTGATTTACCCAGATTCACATTAGATTACCTGAGTAAGCAATCTCAAATATTTGACCAGCGGGAGAAGCCAGGTGCACCATGCTCTTGCTACGCGGTAACAACACAGTGGTGTTCACCGCAAACAGGATATTATGAAGCTAAAACTGTGTTCTGCCTATCACAAAGATGGGTAATGTGGTATATGAATTTCAGTGCCAGTGTGACACCAGGTATATGGGGCATATGAACAAAAGACCGCTGGATCATATCAAACAGTGCATGTCTTTGTCTGATTGCAATAAGCAAGATCCTGACCACACCCGAGACCTCACATTTGCAAAACGTGCAACACAGTCGCAAGTTAAACTTAAATATGATATTGCAGCCACAGGGCTTCCACACATGTTGACTCTCACAGTGGTACAGTTCCACACACACTGATTTTCAGAGGGGTACGGGCTCCCACACACACACTGACTGTCACTGGGATACAGTCCCACACACACACACTGACTCTCACTGGGTTACGGGCTCCCACACACACACTGACTGTCACTGGGGTACAGTCCCAAACACACACTGACTCTCACTGGTGTACGGGGTCCCACACACACACACTGACTCTCACTGGGGTACGGGGTCCCACACACACACTGACTCTCACTGGGGTATGGGGTCCCACACACACACACTGACTCTCACTGGATTATGAATAAGAGAAAATCATTAGCAGAAAGTCTCTTTTCACTTCTCAAATTTATGGGCGTCACAGATGTTGGTGTGGTGGGCCCAGTTTGAAGCAGTGGAACAGTAAGTTCAGTGTTTGAGAGCGTTGCTTCTCTCAGAACAAGCAGCATTTGGCTGCTGTACTTTTCCTGTTTCTCTCTCTGGAATGTGTGAATTGGCCAGAAAATGTCCGGGCCAGAATTATCAGCCTACTGCCACATTTCACAAGGAAAATATATCTGTTGGATTTGTCGGCTTCTGGGTCATAGAGATCAAGTCAGCTGGTCACAGAATTGAACAGAAACTCTGTAACCTGTCCTTTTCTCCCTGCTGTTTCAGTGCTAACTCTCTGGGAAGTTCACAGAATTCCTACACTGTGGAAGCAGGCCATTCAACCCATTGAGTACACACTGACCCTCCAAAGAGCATCCCACCCCAATCCATCCTCTACCCTGGACACTATTTGGCAATTTTGCATAGCCAATCCTCCTAACTTAAACATTTTTGGACTGTGGCAGGAAACCTGCACAGACATGGGGAGAATGTGCAAACTTCACACAGACAGTTGCCCAAGGATGGAATTGAACCCTGGTCCCTGGCACTGTGAGGCAACAGTGCTAACCACTGAGCCACTGCTGTTGTTTTCCATCTTCCCTGTGAGATTGGGAGGGGGTGGAGGAGACTATTTAAAGCAGGTATAAAGTGGAGATGTCCTCTCTGTATCTCGCTGTGCCCCAGGGGTTCAGTGAGATGCAGTCTTATCAGCAGGTCGTTATTCCTGTCTGACAAGCAAGATCTGAACCCTTGCTTTGTAATACCCACCCACAACTCTCACTCAAACACACACACACACACACACACACACACTCCCGTAACCACACTGACCTGCTGACAATCCTGTACACTCCTGGACCATGTATGTGCTCACACCCACACCTCCTTAGACTGAAACACTCTCCTTGACACTGAAACTTTGCTGGGTTATTGTGCTAAATGGGTGATCATTTTCCCACATCCTGCTGTTATTTCCATGATTTCAGTGCAAGTTGATGCGAGCATCAGGCACCATCTCAACCAATCAGCATATGTTGCAGAGTATTTGAAGAATTTCTGTAGCAGTTGTCATGACCTGAGGACATTTCAAAGCTTTTACACTCACAGATGTACTTCCAATATGTCGACTCTAGCTGCTGCATTTCCTGTATTACAGGAAGATGTGCACAGCAGGATCCCATAAACACCATTGTGACTCTGTATAGAGAATCTGGTGACTGAAAAGCAGTTAACAGGATCTCACCTCAATGTCTCACCTGAAAGGGGGCATTTGTGACAGTGTAGCACTCCCTCAGTATGGCACTGGAACTGTTGCCCTGGATGATGAGCTTTGGAGTGGGGCTTAAGCCTGCAGCCTTCAGGATGAGAGTGTGAGTGTGAGAGGGAGAGAGCGCTTCTTGCAGAGCTGCTGTTGCTGGACTGACACCCGTGCTTGAGCTGGGTGTGGCCTGTACGTTAAAGTTTGTCCAGCACACCTCTGCCAAATCAAGTGGCAATCACAGGAGCTCAATGCTCCTGACTTTTCCATTCACCCCTCTGTGAAATGCGTTTACAGAAAGGAATTCCAGATTGTTCTATAATGTAAGCCATCAGTGGAAAATTCTGAGCACTCTGTTAAGCAGTTAAACAGGCTGCACTGTCCATGTTCTGTTGCAGCTGTAACTACAGGTCAGAGATCGAGGGGAAGGAGGTTCAGTTTGTGGACTGTTCAGGATCAGGTGGCAGCACTGGGCTTCAATTATTGTCTTGTTTCAGTTGAATTCCTTTATGCAACAACTCTCAATATGGCTTGTATTATGATCTGGCAGGGAGTGCCAAGATGTAAAGGGGCCTCCCAGGGCATGTTTCAGTCAATTCACCCTTGTGTTATCTGCTTTTGCTTCCTTCGGCATGCAGGTCCTTTAGCTAAAAGAATTGATTGTCAATGTTTTAACAGTCGGCTCTCCTCCCCCTTCTTTATACATATGCACCCCCTCCTCCGCTTCCCCTCCCTTTAATTCCCTCCCCTCCCCTCCACACTTTCTCTCTGTCCCCTCCCCCTCCTCTGCACACCCTCCTTTCCTCTCTATCCCTCCCCTCCCCCTTACTTACTCATCCAGGACTGCAACTTCACTCTGGTCCAGAAGGAGTGTGTCACAGGACAGCTGCTAGTACCCGCTGGGAAGGGGATGGAGTCCTGGAGAGGACAAAGGAAAGATGGACAGCAGAAGAGGGAAGGGGAGTAGAAAGGAGTGAGAGAAGGTGAGAGGGAGGGAGAGTGAGGGGGGGAAAAGGAAAGAGGGGGAGAGTGAGGCTTTACCACTTCAGCTCAGGGCCTAGATGTTGAACCAAGCTTGTGTGATTCCTCACCAAGTGGATCAGAGGTACCAGTACACGGCCATTCAGCCCATTTGGGCTGTGTTGATGTTTACCGTTCACAAGCAAACTGATCCAGTTTGGTCTCCCATGCCTAAGAAAGGGGATACTTGTCATCGACATTGTAGAGCAGAGCTTCACCAGGCTGATACTGGGGATGGCAGGACTATTGTAAAAGGAGAAATTGATTTGATTGGGCTGAGATTCACGAGCATTTAGAAAAATGAGAGGGGATTTGACTAAAACATATAAAATTCTAACAGACTAAATGAAGAGAGGGCCCTACCATTAACTGTATAAGTCCGGCCCTGATTTGCTTTTCCAAAATGCAACACCTGACATTTATCTAAATTAAACTCCAACTGCTAATCCTCGCTGTTCAGTACACCATCTATTTTGGTGTCATCTGCAAACTTACTAACCATACCTCCTATATTCACATCCACATTGTTTATATAAATGACAAAAAGCAGTGGACTCAGCACTGATCCTTGTGACCACTGGTCACAGGCCTCCAGTCCAAAAAAAAACCCTCTACCACTACCCTCTGTTTCCTGTCTTCAAACCAATTTTGTATCCAATTGGCTAGCTCCCTCTGGATCCCATGTGATCTAACTTTACTAACCAGTCTACACATGGAACTTTGTTGAATGCTTTGTCCATCCTGACAACATCTACCGTTCTGACTTCAATCTTCTTTGTCACTTCTTCAAAACAACTCAACCAATTTAATGAGACATGATTTTCCACACACAAAGCCATATGAATACACACTTCCGTGCTCAAGACGTGCCAACTGGTGAATCCACATCGCACATAGTGACTATTTGCTAAGTAGGTGTGTCATTAGCAAGTGTAATAGCACCATGAAGGCCAGGATGCTTAGGTTCACATTAGAGGCAGCATTCTCTTCTTCCATCACCGATCTGAGCAAATGGTAAGGGCGCCTCTGCCTGGGTTTAGCCTCAAGATCTGATTTCCTCTGCTGATACCTGAGTCTCCAAAGATACTGGAGCAGCTTCAATCTCTCTGACAGATATTGCCCATCTCAACTCTTTCAAATATCTTCACTATGACTTGATGCTTACACTGTGGAATCCTGCCAACCAAGCCAGACTTCACCTTGTGTCCAATCAAATCCTCAATGAGGACACTGTTTTTGCCTCAATTAGCGACTCCGGTTATAATCCCATAGCTTCACAACACCCTGTATCAGAGACTCCTTCTGGCTCTGTCCCAAATTTCAGACATCAAATCCTGTGTCTATGGCCCTCAGTCCTGACTCTTTGACTAATAAAAATAATCTGCTTTCCCTACATTATAGAATTGTGTTTTCACTGCCTAGCTACTTCAATGCATTGAGAGTGAACTTTAAGTTTAGTGAGGGTGGAGGACCGGCTACCCATTATATACCCAACCTGTTGTTCCTTAACTAACTTTACTGAATTCCCATTGATCAACATCCTGGGGGTTACCACTGACCAGATTTTGACCTGGACCACACACAAAAAAAGCCGTGGTTACAAGAGCAGTTCAGAGGCTGGAAATTCTGTGGCGAGTAACTCACTTCCTGACTCTTCGGTGTCTGTCCACCATCTACAAGGCACAAGTCAGGAGTGTGATGAAATACTCCCCACTTGCCTGGATGGGTGCAGCCCCAACAACACTCAAGGAGCTTGACACCATCCAGGACAAAGCAGCCCGCACTTGACTGGCAATTCCATAATCCTCCCTTCATCACCAACGCTGAGTGAGAGCTGTGTGGACTGATAGCTACAAGTTACATAGCAGGAAATCGCAATGTCCATGGGAGCTCAGTGCCTGATGGAACTAAGCCTATCTTAATTTGCCAGCTGACTATATTAGATTAGACTCCCTACAGTGTGGAAACAGGCCCTTCGGCCCAACAAGTCCACACTGACCCTGAAAGCATCCCACCCAGACCCATCCCCCTATAACCCCCCTAAGCTACACATCCCTGAACACTATTAGCATGGCCAATCCACCGAGCCTGCACATCTTTGGACTGTGGGAGGAAACCAGAGCACCTGGAAGAAACCCACGCAGACACAGGGAGAATGTGCAAACTCCACACAGTTGCCAAAGGGTGGAATCGAACCCAGGTTTCTGGTGCTGTGAGGCAGCAGTGCTAACCACCGAGCCACCATGCTGCCCCCAAACAAGCATGCCTAGCATAGGGCTCGAACCCACGACCCTTATATTACTGGTCACATGCTCTGTTGACTGAGCTAATTGGACCTGGTAGACGTTAGTGAACCAGATGGTTTTCACTGACAATCAACTCATGCACACGATTCGAACTTGGGTCTCTAGGATGTTATCCAGGCCAATGATAATACCACTAGATCATTGCCTCCCCCTCTTGATTCTTGGCCATATTTTCCTCTGAAGTTATTTCAACTTCAGGGAGGCAATGCCTAGTGGTATTATTGCTGGACTTTTAATCCAGAGACCAGGATAACGTTCTGGGTTCGAATCCTGCCACGGCAGATGGTGGAATTTGAATTCAATAAAAGATATCTGGAATTAAGGATCTAGTGATAACCATGAATCCGTTGCTGATTATTGGAAAAAACCCCATCTGGTTCCCTAATGTCCTTTAGGGAAGGAAACTGCCATCCTTACCTGGTCTGGCCTACATGTGACTCCAGACCCACAGCAATGTGGTTGACTGTCAACTGCCCTCTGGGCAATTAGGGATGGGCAATAAATGCTGCCTGGTCAGTGATGCCCTCATCCCGTGAATGAGTAAATTTAAAAAATATCCCTCACTGGTTTGGAAATGTGCTTGAGTTGCGTGGTTTCTCACCTCATCACTGCGTCAACCTTTGGAGATTGCCTTTTCGTGCATGAATGTGATATTTCTGAGTTACCAGCGTAGCCTCTGCGTAGCTCTCTGACACAGTAGCTTAGCAGTCTGACCCGTATTAGCTGCATTCTTGTGTCACTCAGAGCTGAACTGAAGTGTCTGCAGCTTGTTGCAGGACATGTTGCAAACAGTTGAGCTTTCCAATCTTGGCTGATTGCTTGTAACTGTTTTGATTCCAGTGTGTAACATGTGTCATGTGGCCCACTTGTCACCCATTCCTGGCCAAACCCTGTGATTCAGCGAAACTGATGGATCTGACTGTCTGTCCTACAGGTGTGTCCAATGTCCACTTACGTCTGGACCTGGAGGCAGAGTTCCACTTCACCCACCTCATCATGACTTTTAAGGTAGGTGTGCAAGGTGGGACCTTGGCAGTGGACCCATCAAGACCTCTAGTTTTATCAAACAATCAGCAGTAGTAGTTCAAGAAGACTCATCATTTCCCAAGAAGCTCCAAAGGGAATGAGCAGGAAATGCCAGTGACACCCATATTCCAAGAATTAATTTTCAAAAATTATCTTCATACCCTTCCCCTTTGTGCCTCAGTGTGGTGTTAGCCACACAAACCGATATAGCCTTGGGGTTTATCCTTGCACTATGCAAAGTTGGCTGCGGTCCGCTCATGTTGAAGAAAGGACACTGAAGTTGGTCAGAGTGTTTCTGGGTATAAAGGGGGTCAGAGGCCACAGTTCTGGTTGCCCCATAAACTAACACCCCCCACGCCCCCACCCCCACCCAACCACCATATCAACCCTTTCATGGAGAGCAGAAATATCCTGCAATGCTCACTTGAACCCAGCTTGAGGCATGGCTGCTGTAGTGATGCTGGTAGCACCAAGAACCAGAACAAAGTGGGGCAGGTGGCAATGGAGATCAGAGGGAAAGGATTAAACTGTGCAGTCATATTGTCTCTCCACAGACCTTCAGGCCTTCCGCCATGTTGATTGAGCGCTCTGCAGACTTTGGCCGCACGTGGCAGATCTATCGCTACTTCAGTTATGATTGTGCCACTGACTTCCCACATGTCTCTCAGGGACCCCTGAGAAAGGTGGACGATGTTATCTGTGAATCGCGCTACTCTGACATTGAGCCATCAACTGAAGGAGAAGTGAGTAACAAAACAATTGCTTGTTCAGGGATGTGAGTGGGTGTAATGTGCTCCTTGCAGGACCTAAACTCTGTGCAGTACTGAGGGAGTGCTGCACTTTGAGAAGCACTGTGTTATAGGCGAGGCATTAATCGAGGCTTTGTCTGTCCCCTCAGGTGTATGCAAAAGATCCCTTTCATGCAGTTTCTGGGTAAGAACACACTGCCAGTCTGATATGGTCTGAGTTTTCTAATATGTTAGCCCTTATAGCCCAAAGCGCAATGGTTGGATTCTTGTTGAGACAGATGTCTTCAAGTTTATTATGAGCACTAACTTTTACATTGCTGCCAGACATCAGATTTACATATAGTCTAGGTTCTGTGCTTACAGACTACACAAAGCAGAGATGTAGTAACTGCAAACAGACTACTATTATTGTTACTGAAGGAGAGGTGGGTACCTTTACACTGCACCATGTCATGATGCCATCCAACTGTTTCAAAGGTATACTACATGTTTGGTCTGGGATCTATGCATTAACAGAACCCCAATATCCAGTGCTGAAAGACAGCATTCAAGTTCTCCCTGATTTTGTGACCATCATTTATTCCTCAACACAGATATATCTGTTCATTATTACACTTTTATTCGTGAGAGCTTTCTGTGCACAAATTGTCTATAGCATTTCTTATGTTAAAGAGCAGTTCATTGGCTGTGAAAATCATGAAGAACTTACAAGTGTAATATGATTTTTCCCTCCTTTTCTGGAACACAAGCAGCTACTGAGCAAGAAATTGAGTGAGACCTTGTACCTCACACAGAGACAGTCAGAGAAATAGATACTGACGACAACATTTAGCAAGCTTAAACATTTTCTGGTGTGTTTTGTGCATTTTGTTAAGTACAGCATCTTCTTCATTTGATATTTCAATGGCATGTCTCTCAGTAAGTTATCCATGTTTTGCAGGTGATGAAGGAGGGGAAAATATGGGACAATAACTTTCTAATTAGCATATTTAAATGCACATGTGAGTGCTTGTTGGAAGTTAATGCTGAAGTCTATGTATGTAACAGTGAACACTGTGTTCAGACATTTTTTTTCTTTCTTCATGGGATGCAGACATTATACTACCTAGGCCAACATTTATTGCCCATCACTAATTGCCCAGGGAAGAGTTAAGTGTCAAGTACATTGCTGTGGGTCTGGAGTCACATGTAGGCCAGTCTGGGTAAAATTGAAAGATTTCCAATCCCTAAAGGGCATTAGTGAACCAGGTGGGTTTTTGCACAATCAGCAGTGGTCATTGTTAGGCTTACTTTTAGTTCCAGATTTTTATGGAATTCAAATTTTGCCATTGTGGGATTCGAACACTTGTCCCTAGAACAGAAGCCTAGGATTCTAGATTCCTGGTCCAATGACATTACCACTAGATCACTACCTCCCCTAAGGTCTACATTGCCATATTCATGGACTATGTCAAAAACTGCAATATATTGAACTGTTTGGACACTTTCTGGATTAAAAGGTGTTTTTAACCAAATAAGAAGGGAACTTAAATAAAGCAGAACTGCAGAAACAGAATCAGAAATTGCTGCAAGGTCTGGCAGCATCTGTGGAGAGAGCCTTTTTTTATTCAAAGAACTACCGATGCTGGTGATCTGAAAAAAACAAAAATAGAAAGTGCTAGAGAAACTCAGAGGTCTGGCGGCATTTGTACAGAGGAAAACAGAGTAAACATTTTGGGTCCCTGATGGGGAGAGGGCTCGATACAGAGAAAGCTGTACAAAGACAGGGCACCACAAGGAGAGGGTTTATGAGCTGGTCAGAACTTGATATGGATGAGGAGAGGAACTATTCTGGGCTGAAAAGGTTCTTGAGCCAAGCAGTTGAATTTTCGTTTCCCCTTATTCTTGCTGGTTTATGTTCTGATTAAAGTTGTTTCCTTACTTTACAGGTGATCTATAGGGTTCTGGATCCGGCAATTTCCATTGAAGATCCCTACAGTCCTCAGATCCAGAGTAAGTTCTGTGCTTATAGCTCACGGTTACTCCCAGGTGAAGCAATGTTTCAACAGACATGGCCCATAAACAGTAATGACTGATCTTCAAAACAGGCGAAATGGGAGTGTATTAATACTGAGAAAGCAGTTATCAGTGGAAGAGAACCGAAGGAACTGCGGATGCTGTAAATCAGGAACAAAAACAGAAGTTGCTGGAAAAGCTCAGCAGGTTCGGCAGCATCTGTGAAGAAAAAATCAGAGTTAACTTTTCTTAGTTCTGAGGAAGGGTCAACTGACACAACACTATAACTGTGATATTTCTTCACAGATGCTACCAGACCTGCTGAGCTTCTCCAGCAACTTCTGTTTTTGTATTAGTGTCACTTTTCCAAGAAAGCTGGCCCATCACACATGAAGAGTGTGAATTTGACCCCAAATTCTGTCCTTGGTTTGATAGCTCATCTCCGCTGGGATTAAACAGCGTTAGTTTACTAAGTGGGTAAAGGTCAGCCATGGCTCCTGTCCTTGGCTGAGATCTGAGTCAAGGAGATATTGACAAATGACCAAGGCTTGCTCAACAGCGTAGACTTTAAGGAGCAAATTAAATTAGATAGAGAGATACAAACATGAAAGTGAGAATTCCAGAGCTTAAGACATCGACAGCTGATGACATAGCTGCCATTGGTGGAATGACAGTTCCAGGGCTACACAAGAAGCTGGAACTAAAGGAGGAGGTGACAGAGATAGGGAGGGGTGTAGGGACTGAGGGAGGTTACAGAGATAGGGAGGGGTGTAGGGGCTGAGGGAGGTTACAGAGGTAGGGAGGGATGTAGCGGCTGGAGGAGGTTACAGAAATAGGGAGGGGTGTAGGGGTTGGAGGAGGTTACAGAGATAGGGAGGGGTGTAGGGACTGAGGGAGGTTACAGAGAGAGGGAGGGATGTAGGGGCTGAGGGAGGTTATAGAGATAGGGAGGGGTGTAGGGGCTGAGGGAGGTTATAGAGATAGGGAGGGGTGTAGGGGCTGAGGGAGGTTAT